GTGACGTTTGTCCGTCTGCATTTAATTTTAATAGTGATTTGATTGTACACAAAAGAAAACATACCGGAGACAAACCCTTCAAGTGTGACATTTGTCCGGCTGCATTTGCAAAATCATTCTGTTTAACTCAACACAAAAGAATACATATGGGAGAAAAAACACACAAATGTGACAAAAGTCCTGCAGCATTTACTACAAATGGTGATTTAACTGTACACAAAAGAATACATACTCATACAGAAGAGAAATAAAGATGTGATAGTTGTGCCCCTGAATATATAAGTTCACAATTAATTTTACACAAAAGAAGACATATTGGAGAGAAAGCCTTAAATTGAGATTTTTCCTGTTGCATTTGCTCAGCATTTATTGTTAACATGAAACAAAAGAGCAGATACATGAGAAAAATGATACATATGTGACAATCGTCCTGTTGCATTTTTAAGACTTGTTATGTGACTGTGTATGCCACAAACCAAAGTAAGATACATGATAATACATCCATGGAATTTGACCCCAGGGCCCAGTGACAGTTGAAGTTTACAGCAACATCTCCCTAACTGCTTTTCTCCCACCTGGCTTAGGGAGGGACAACAATAAGAACTTGTTATTTGTGTTATTTGTTTAATTAATTTCTCGGTTTTATGTTAGGGTGACCAAATCATGATTTGGAAAAAACAGGACGCTTTCAAGGACGGTTGTTTTCTTTTATTCATGGGGGGGGGGGGGGAATACCTTCCAGTTAAAGAGGGGTCAGGGGGCCTCGGCCGGGAACTGTTTATTGATATATGCTCATTTTAACTATGAAATCTAACCTAGAAATCTACTTGGGGGCACTCATTCTTTTCCTATGCTTCACTGCTATGATGTGTTGTTTTTATGTCTGAACGTCCACCATGACCAATACTAAAAACATTATCGCAAACTGTGAACTCGGCTTCACTTGCATAGCCTCCCTTTTTAATCTAGTTTAACTCTTTGGAATACTCCTCCATAAACTTATGTTGACGCTTGGGCATAACCACTGTTTAAGATAATATGAGATTAAAGAATAAAGTTCAACACCCAAAACAAACACCTGTTACCATTAGTTGGATGTTTTGTCAGCAGGGCAAATATGCCTTTATATTTTTGTGTTTTGTAAGCAGGGCAAATATGCCTTTATATTTTTGTGTTTTTTAGAGTACATTTTTCAGATGTGTGTGTAATTGGCCATTTCTGTTCATTACTTTTAATTATTAATTATTAATAAGCAGAGTTTTAATCAATTGTCAGATCTGTAAATTTGACTCATAACAATGATGTTGGGGTTGTTAAAACATACAGCCGTGGGCTGAAGTCTTACATATTAGGAACCAGTGTGTACGTGAGCATGATACTAACAGTTTTATCATTCTAGGTACACATACCCGGTTCTGTAAGGCGCTTGTAAGTGATTGATACATCAGTATCCAGCCAGTGAATATGCCTTACTTTAAAATATCGTAGTATCTAATTACTAATATCATCTTTTTAATATTTATATTCCCCTAAATTTTTTTGATAAATTCAAAATAAATGAATGCATTTTAGCAAATACTTTAATTTAGTTTTGCAACAATCTACTCTTGGAGAGCAACGGAGAACATGCTAGTTAGTTTAAAATTGTAAGTGTCACTTAACCTTAAAACATCACGTGAGCTCAGCAATTCCTACGACTGCAGTGGGCCTCGGATATTTTAGGGCTTCAGGATGTGATGTGGATATATCCTTACTTATTACTTATTATCTTTCAATGCAAGGTGGGAAAGGAACAGTGGCGTAGCGAGGGTGTTTGGCGCCCGGGGACAAGATCCATTTTTAGCGCCCCTTTTTCTTTTTTTTCAACTCTCAAACCCATTATTTTCATCAATAAAATAATATCAAAGCATATTTTGGCACCCCTAACTAGCTGGCGCCCGGTGACATCTGTCCCCCCCCCCTGCCCCACCACCCTACACCTCTGGAGAGGACAAAACCAAAAAGTGGCAAAAGTCGAGCGGCGCTCTGCTTGACGTAGCTGTGTTAGTAACTAATTACGTTAGTAATGTTTGATCTTTCTTATATTTTATAAATGCAATTTTAAAATAAAGATAGTATTGTTGATTTCAAAGGGGGTTTCTGTCCGATCGAGAAAATAAAAATGGATGCCGGCGAGTAAACATTGGGGTGGACCGACTTAAATTTTTATCTGGGGTAGGAGGGTTCAAGTGAATAAAACATTATACACAGCAAAATAATTAAACAAATAATTTGTAAGCTTATCTTGACAATGAGATTGTGAAGCATTTATTAAAACTCAATGAAACGTATTTCTGAGTTAGAATTGTTTCAATATTATTTCATCTTATACTCACTAGTACTACCGGTACCTAAGGCCTATTGAAATGGACTCGCCCAGTTCTCTCAATATTTAGTTTTTATATTACACCTATGAATACTTAAAACAATGTTGTATGCTCTCTAAGTTTAATTGTTCATTCCACAGCGGAGACCCTGGGTGCAACATTGTGGCTAGAGTTGACAATTGCTATTGATAATGCACTTATCAAGCTACTGGGGAATAAGACCAACAAGATTACAAATTGGTTACAGAAGCTTACCCAGTCACCCCCCAGTTGATAGACCAGGCATTTCCCTGACAATTTAATTAAAATGTATGCTCAATTGCTTTATATTTTTGACAATACTCTGCATTGATATTTTTTTTTATTAGTCTTTTAATTAATAGTAAACACATCTGACATCATATTCCTTTGATTTTATCACAATTATGTGATAAAATGCATTTTCTAATCAAATTTTTTAAACCTTCATTTTTAAAAAAAACGCTAAGTGAGTACTTTTAGACTTATTTTAGTGCCTTTAAGTGTTTATTGATGATGTTAAGGCATACTGCATGTTGTTCTGCTTAAAATTATCTTTAATTTGATGTATGACATATTTATGTAAGTCAATAACAGAAATTTTAACAAATTTTTGAAAATGTGTATTTTTACACTTTTCCTGTCAGAAAATAAAAATGACTAAAAATCATTATTGTTATTTTTTATTTTTTAATAACTTAAGAATTAATAGATCTGGCTGCTTGAAAAAAATTGGGCTTAAATATTGTAAACTTTGGAGCACATATACCAATTCCTGGAATTCTCTGTTGATTATTTTAGAAAATATAGGTCCTTAAACATGGGACTTTTTC